AGAGCAAAAAAGAACAACAAAAAACTCAACTCTGAGACCAGAAGAACTAGATGGTAGATGCTATCTGACTACCACTACCAACTGCTCTAAAAGAGATCACATTAGAAGGTCCCAAATAGAGTCGGAGAAAATGTGGAACAAAACTCAAAATTATTATTTTTTTAAAAAATGCATTACTGGTCAGAAAGAGAGGAACCCAAGACTATGAACCTCAGCCACCCTACAAGTCTGTAATGGAACTCACCCTGTGGCCCAATTTCAGCCAAATAGAAGATAGGTATATAGGGTAGACAACAACATTAGTAAGGTATGCCTACTATGGAATAGTCAACCATTCAAGATCAAAAACACGTACCTAAGGGCAAAGCTGAGAAGGGATGGGAACGAAGGTGGAATGGAAATAAAGAACCACAGGGAGGAAGTAGCATAACTGTTGTTACATGGAAGAGGTTGCAATTATTGAGATGAAACAAAGTGTAAGATTTGTTGAATGTACACTGATGATCTTCTCTGTAAACTTCACAATAAGAAATTAAAAATAAACAACCTACGGAGCACAGTTCTACTCTGATACCCGTGGGGTCACCATGAATTAGTTAACTCAAGGGCAGCTGATTTCATTCAACAAACTAACAAGTTCAGTTACTTTAAGGTACATTTTAAGGAGCTCTAGTAATGTAGTGGCTACAAGTCCGGCTGCTAATCTCAAATTCAGCAGTTAGAAACCACTAGTGGTTCTGCAGGAGAAAGATGAGGCTTTCTGCTCCCATAAAGATTCACAGCCTCAGAAATCATATACAGAGTCACTATGAGTCAGAACTGACGTCACAGCACACCACTACCACCACCACTAAGGTATATTTTTCCACCAGTTCTTTCCATTTCTAAATTCATTCATAAATACTTATTGAGACCCTCATACCAGAATTTGTATAATGTGGAAGTATAAGGATAAATAAGACAGCTATTGTCCTTGTTAAGATTACAGTCTATTTGGGAGAAGAAATAATAAACAAACAAGCACAATAATTGCATACTGCGATGCTAAGGGATAAAAAGTTTATCTAAAAGAGTATATTACAAAGGCATTACTTATTGCTTGAACTATTGAGTGGTCAAAGAGAACAGCCTTAGGCCTGCCCACAGGTACAATCTTACCCTCACTCCAGGGAACACTGGACCTTGTTTGACTCCTGTTTTCATAAGAGGATATCAACCCTTCCCAATGGCAGTTTCCTTATGCGGATTCATGAGACAATTTTCTCTCAGGTTTCAGAACTACTTGCTAATGGGTAACTGATTTCTTTCTTTTATCTCATGGACCCTGTAACTCATAGAACTCATTATGTTTCCCTCTTTGCACTGGAAGTCAAAAAGGGCCAAGCCTTGAGCCCAATTTATAACCACATCTAACAACTGAATAGGATTCATTTATTTTGCTCTCTTATTTTTACATTCATTTTTAATATTCTTTGTATTAAGGTAATTGTTGTTGTTAAGTGCCATCGAATTGGGTCCAACTCATAGCTTATAGGGTTTCTGAGGAGCAGCTAGTGAGTTTGAACTGCCAACCTAGTGGTTCAAAATGACCTTGCAGCCCAATGCTTATCCTACAGGGCCACACCAGGACTCCATTAAGGTAATTGGTTGTTGTTGTTGTTGTTAAATGCCATCAAGTCAGTTCCTGTATAGGGTTTCCAAAGAGCAGCTGGTGAGCTTGAACCACCAACCTTACAGTTCATGATACCAGCATGATACCAGGTAATTATATAATATGTAATAAATTAATGAAATTATATATGAAAAAGAGACTGGCATACTTTCATTAATCACCACATATCATTTATCTTTTTTTTTTTTTTTTGCTTTTTCCTATTGGTTCATCTATAATTAGATAAGGAAAAAGCAAAAGTATAATGCAAAGGAGGAGTCCCTCAAATGACTAGTAATACAAAACAGCTAAGCACTCCAATATTACCACAGCCACAAATTACAGGGTAGTGATACATATGTCAACAAATTACAATGACCTCATTATCAAATAACCCATTCATTCAATGCAAGTGTTAAAAAATGTTTCTCCTATATGAGCAACGAAAGTCTACACAGTAGTCATGCAATTTTTCTTCAGGCTTGTAAAGTCTGGTAAAATCACTGATCTACATTACTGCTCTAATTTACTCCTTCTAAGAAGCGTAGTGGTTATGAATCAGGCTGCTAACCTCAGGGTCAGCAGTTCAAAACTACCAGCTGTTTCATGGGCGAAAGATGAGGCTTTCTGCTCCCATAAAGATTTACAGCCTCGGGAAAACTGTAAAGGGTCGCTATGAGTTGGAACCAACTCCATGGCACATAACAACAACAATAAAGAACACAATCTGAGAACTCCTCCAGAAGAACTCCTCCAAAATGTGGTTGTCCCCTATTTTCCTGATAATATCTTAAAATTTTCTTTCTCAACCAATCACTTCATCTAAAATACTTCTTTCCATACTGACTTTATCTTTTTCTGACTCTCTCCTTCTTTCAGCAAACCCCAATGAAAATCCTCTTATAAAGAACCATCTGAAACCAAGCTCATCTCAATGAAGCCCTTCCTGATTGTTAAAGTCTTTCATTCATCTATTCAATAAATATTTACTGTCTTTTCTGCGCCAAGGCTGTGGAGACAGCGATGAACAGGACAAAGTCCCTGACTTCATGAAGAAGGCACCAAAGTCCATCCCTGAGGGAAGTGGGGAGGGGACTAGAAACTATCTTTTTCCTTCCTTAATCTTTATTTTTTCAAGTGAGTCCATCCTATCTTTCCAAATGGATTCTTATTTTCTAATGGACAAGAATCAAGTGATATCTTTCTGTACACCAATGGCCATTTGCACAGTATTTCAAATACATGGAAGAGGATGAAGATGACAGGATGAACCTAAGAAAAGGTGAGGAGGACTCCTGGTGTGGTGCTAGAGAATAAGCACTAGACTGCTAACCACAAGGTCAGCAGTTCAAACCTACCAGCCACTCTTTGGAAGCCCTATGCAGGGTATCTCTACGAGCTGGAACCAACTCAATGGCACTTTTACAACAACAGCAATCCAATGGCCTTTCTTGTGGAAAAATATCCCAGAGAGCTGTGGCTTAGGTCATATGCTCTGACACTGACCAGAGCACCCAAAAGTAGAGCAGTCACTCTTGGGCATCTCCTGTGTCAATTGTACTTCTGCCCACTGGATAGCAGAATATGCATTTGGTCCCTGTATGGCAGGACCTAGAGTGGCAGCGACAAACTTACAGCCCTTAAAATATGGCCAAACACTTTTCTAAACAAATCCTGTGAGTTGGAACCAACTCAACAGTACTTAACAGCAACAACAACTATTAAAACCAGTAATGATTTAAAGTTCTACATACTCACATGGACACTAATACAAAAAGTTATATAAATGCACTAGATATGTTAATTTTTTAATCACTGTTTCAACACCACTAATAAATACAAGAAAATTGTCTACCAAAATTTAGCAGTAGACCATGAATTTGGGTAGAACAGGGGTTTCAGCCAACCTCGCCTCTAATTACATAGCAAACAACCCATCTAAATCTCGTTTTGCTCTTTGCAACTGAGGGTTGTTGCGAGGTTTAAATGATTTTAGTATATGAAAAACGCACAGCACAGTACACAACATAGTAAATGCTCAATAAACAGTAATTGTTAGTTCTTAACTATGGCAGTCTGTGGCACTTTCTGGCACCTGCTGTCCCCAGAACAACAGTTTTACTTTGGCAGTGACTACAATACACTTAATATTAATTGCCCCCTTCTGATGCTCTGTATTCTTGTCTTTTCTGCCCCAAATTCATTTTAATTTGTTCTGTTACATTTCAGTCTCTAAATCCTGTTGCAGTATGGCCAAATATTTGTTAAGGTCACTTCCATATTGCCAAGTCAGCAAATGGAGACTTCACAGAAACATGGACACCTCCCTCTGAGAGGAGTTTGGTCTTCTTGTTTCTCTGTTCAAAACTTCAACAGCTCAAAAGATGTGCTAGGGTGAAAAGCACAATAAAAAATGCCCACTTAAAGACATTTCTAGTATGGTTGATGTACTGCCAAGAACAGTTCTGAATGGTGAATTCACTAAGAACAAAGGATTTGTTTTTCTTTCAGTTTTCTACAAG